GCGCTCAGAGACGTTCATTATAAGTGCAATTTTGTGCCATTGAACCAATGTATATTTCCACGGTCACGCGGATATTGTACGTTTTAAGGGGGGAGGCTACCCTGGAGACCGAACTTTTTTATTTTTTAAGATATCTGGATGAAACTTTCAGGTGTTGTTCACTACAATAAAACTAGCACAACTGCCAAGTTTCACGAAGCTGTGTTTCTTAGTTCCAGAGTTATTGAGGTTTAACTGGGTGCTTCACATGGGTGCCTGAGGAAGAGTCGAGAGAAATCCCAGGACATAGTAGAAAGCTGAAATTCATTGTGGTCATTCCTTGATAGCTATCCCAGGGCGCTACAAAGCCGTTTTTTTTTTATTTCCCCGCCCCCCCCAAATTTTCACGCAACTTTGAATTTGATGTAACCAGTAATGACCAGATTCATCAAAAATTAATTTTTTATTATAAATTAACAGCACCAATTTTCAAAAAAAGGAGCTTGTTACGTCCTTGCAAGGTCATTCAGGAACAGAATAAAAAAGACGGCACACAAATCTGATGAACGGTTTTCGAGTTCTTGCTTTCCTCAGCACCACAACTAGCAAAAAAATCCGTTCTGAGAAAACAGGCCGAGAAAGTTCAAAACATGTGTTTTCTTCAAAAAGCTCCAGCACAGTAGCTAGAAGTGTCCTGGTGCACTCTTTTCTTCTTTTGCCTGGCCTCCATCTTCTCTTGGTGTCTTTTAGAATTCTTTTTTAGGCGTAAAGTGTCTTTTTCACGAGCTCGCTGGATGGCCAGATGACCTGGTTGAAGTCCAATGGAGTCCGATATCACTTGGGTTGCTTTGCAGCAGCCGGCATTGTAGCGCAGCACTGCTTCATGCAGTGCTGTTTCTACCGCGATCAAGGATGAGTGTTGTTCCTTCGGCATCAGAGACCACAGAATGGAGTGGAATGATTCTGATGCATTTTGCGTCTTCGCTCCCAGGCAGCGCTGAAGAAGAGACTTTTGTGACAGTCTTTCGTAGATGGGCAGCATAGCTGCAGCGACATAGTCCGGTAGGCTGTGTTTATGTTTTGGCTGTGGCTCACGCTTTGCCTCTGCAGCTCTATGGCGGCACCACGATTGAGCCCCCTCTGGGCAAAGTTCATGGTGAGGGTCCTGGTCAGTCGATGTGACGTGGTAATATGTTGCCATCACTGCGCGCTGCATGGCTGTTAGGTCAGTTGAATTGTTTCTCAGGGCCCAACCATAATATCCTGTCAGCTTTTCAATGAGGGCTTTAGTCAGCTTCCCCTTCCCACTCAGTGGCTTATCACTTTTCTGCACAATGTTTCGAAGAGCACTTCCAATCCTTTTCTGAACATGGTTCAGACATTCTTCATTGGCACTAGCCCGTACACATTCTCTTCTGTGAGGGCAGCGAAGGTACGGCTGTCTCCGTTGGACACAAGAGTGGTGTACCGCAGGCCATGCTTGGATACAGACCGCCCAAAGAGAGTCAAGCCTGCCTCCACTTCCATGCTTCCCGATTTTGCGTCTGTGTTTTTCTGGCAAATGTGGTGCTTCTGCCAGCTTTCGTATGCTGCATCTCCAGGTTTGGGCCCTGTTTGGCATCCAAGGCAGTGGTTTGAAAGAACTACAGCATCCAAGATGAGACCTGTAAAGAAGTCAATTACCGATCCCACTCCGATGTGTGATGTGTGACCCCGCTTATGCCATGTGCCATCGTACACTACGGTGATGTCCCTGCAGAAGCTGGGGTCCATTTCTTTATATGTTTTGATCACTGCTGCGGCAGAATCAGCATAAAACTTCTCCAAAGCGGTGGCCTCTGGCTTCCTGAATGTCTCTTTCAAGTGCTTTTGAAACGTCTTGTGGTGAAGACCTCTGTAAGAGACGTTCATGGCAGCCCAAAAGTCATTAGGAGCTGTTTGCCCCTTGCCTATTTGCTTTATAGCCATTATGGCGCGGACATTTACATCGAAGGCCTGCGTGTCCTTTTTGCGGGGTGATGTCCATAATTTATCAACGGTGCCACAAGAGGCGCACACGACTTCAAGTTTTGTTGCAAGTCCAAGCTTGGTGCTCTCTCGGACAGTCATAGCACCTTTCAAACATTCTTTGCACACTGTGCGGCTGAGCACGACGTTAAAGATGTTCATTTGAACGAGCGAAAAATGTTCGCCCTCACTTGTCACTGCAGGTGCAAGAGCCGGCTGCATCAGTTGAAATTTCTTCTGCGTCGCCGGCGTAGACTCAAGTTCAGCGCGGACGGCGTCACGACGTTTCGCATTCGCATGGATTTCTTCCTTCGTTAGAAAACGCGTCCGCAGATGAAGCGACGGTCCACTCACGCTCGATGGCGGCACCAATTCAGACGAAGTGCTGGGTCCGGCGATATCAGAAGCACTCGGTGTCACACTGGTTGGCATCGATTCGGAGCACGTGTCGAGCCCGGCGATCTCGGAAACACTCGGTGCATTTGCGGCTCCAGCCACACTCGATGTGTCGAATTCTCGACTGGCGACAGTCGACAACACAGTACCGTCGCTGAAAGCGTCTACGCAGTCGGCACCCGCAGCAGAATAGCGGAATTTCGATGATCGTACAAGCCGCATAGCGCGCCTCCGCGCACCGGACTTCCACACTGACTTCGGCTTCGTTGCCGGCATCGCCCGCAACAACAAAGACGAAAGGCACAGAACTAGTGCAAAAAGAAAAAAAAAACGAGAGAAAATGATCGAAAAGATAGCACAAGGCGAAGAGCGGCTCGTAAGCAGACGTCTGTCGAGGCGGATGGAGCAGAGAGCAACAACGAAGCGAGCGCGCTGGACGCGCCATCGAGAGGAGCGACCGCCCCCGCTGCTGCACAGCAGCCAATGGCGGGCACGCTTTCTCCAGTGAGATATGAATGCGCTGCTCTAACCAATCAGCGATCCGCATCGCATCGCGGGAAAACGCCAATAGCGTCTCAACTGTGCTGCCGACGCCATTTTGCAAGGCGGCGAACCAGAGAGAAAGAATTCACGGTCAAAACAACACCAAGATGGCGCGGGACGACCGCATGGTCCGGGAATGGCGCGCGCGCGAAGTTTGGTTTGATTTCGGGATTTGCGCCTGTTTTGGACGCCGCGGCGGCCTCGAAAATAGTATTTTTTTTTTTGCACTTTGCGGTTGAATTAGGTGCTGATAATTACAGAGTAGGTAGTTTATGAGACATACAACCCAAAAATGTGGTTTTTCAAAAACCGACTTTTTCACGATTTTTCGGTTTTCAAGGGCCGCGTCCCCCCTTAAGCGAAAGTTAGCTGTTTGTGGGGCCAATATATGTGGGCTCGACTATATATGACAACTTTTTCTTGTGGAAAAGTCTACATAGGCCAGTCAGAAAGATGTGTGAATGACAGCCTCAGAGAACATCATGCATCTGTTAAGGCATCAGGCAACACTCATCATGCAGATCATTATAAAAACTGGGGATATTACCTTGTGTTTAAAGAAACATGAATATTATTTCGACACAAGGATCAGCTCACACATGAGACAGTGAAATCTTACCACATCCGAAAGAGGGGACATGACTGTGTTAGCCAAGCTACGATTGTGCTGCATGATAAATACACGTATCTCGACACCTAATACTTGTAAAATATAATAAATGACACATAATATGGACAATTTTGTAATCCCGATACAAGAGGTTTTTGTTGCACCCCGTTTTGATGCACATGCGCGAAAAACCATGTAACCACTTGAAATTCTTTTTCTGACGATTAAAACTTCAGTTGTGAAAGCAAGTGCTGTCCTTGTCAACCTCTTTTGTCCATCTGTTTTGTAGTGCGCTTCAACAAAATTTTCAATTATGAACGTAATCCAAGTGGCCCAACATGCCATCTTACTGCATGTTATCAATTTTGACTTTTTACGGAACATGACAGCAACAGCGAAAACAAATCGAGAGTGTCCATATAATTGAAATCGCAATATTAGCACAGTTTTAAAGACAATAGTATTTCTTGGGAACCTCTGACACAAAAATTTTGGTGTCTGTCTTTCTGTACATTTGTTTGTTCGTCCACTCTTACCGGTACCGGGTATTTTGACCGGAACCAGCAGATACCCCAAAGGCCGACTTCATCCGCGGCGCCCACCAATGTTGCTCAAGATTCAGCGTTCATACTTGTGTGATTGTCAATTAAAAAGCAATTATTGCACATTTCTGAGGCACCATAACAACACGTATATATTCTATATGTGCGTCTTTTACTAGAAAAGGCATACACAAGTTATTCTAAGGACCGTAGCGTTTATCACGCGGCGCTGACCATGCAACCCTTGCACAAAAAGGGAAGTGTTTCCAACGCTTTGCTAAGACTACACGGGTGGCACCTATGTGTCGCCTTGCGTTCTACACCTTATCACCTCTGAGACAGGCGCACGCCCGTCTCAGAGCCGCACGTTTTGTTTTCAAAAATAACTGCCATATAGCGCTCATGTCTCACGTGTAACGTGACTTGGTGCGCTCGTTCACCTCCACTGCACACTCGAGGCACTCAAACGCAGCGCCTCCAAAATACCATTCACCGATTTGCTTGCGCAGAACATCAAATAAACGTTTTGTTCAATCTCTCCAGACGCAAGACTGTCGTCTTTCGACGACATTTGAAGATTAACATGCAGATACGTGGCCAATTTTTTTTACTGTAAAATCAGTGTTTTGGGTTAGCTCTGCCTTCAGTCCCACTTTTGTTTAACAATGGCAAGTTTATTTTCTGAATTTTTCATACAAAACCTGCATATAAGAACGCCTTTTTTTAAAATGAATTTTTGTGGGAATTCATCAATTTCATTATATTCAGGTTTAATTGATGACAAAATATTAGTTATAACAAGCAAAATTGTGATGGCCCTCCAATTACATTATAAAGAGGTTCAACTGTATCTGCATGACTGACAAAAGATCTAGTGTCCTACTTTGAGTTCCATGAGCAAGGACATAAAGAAGAAGCTGTACCTGGTATACCCTGCTACCATCTCCGGCTGAAGAAGAAGGCCCGGCGGTGTCATCTGGAGACAGCGAGCTGGACGATGAGGTGTTGCTACAGTCGACATCAGCAAAGCGCAGCCGGCGCCTCTCGTCCGCATGCTGCCGCAAGCTGAACGTGCGCTCCTCCACGTGCATGGGGCCCATTCCTACGTAGAGAATTGCACCGTTCACGGAAAGGTCCCACTACAGAATGCATATTTAAAGGAGCACCAACAACAAATTTCAGAAGCAAGATAGGTTTATGTGGAGACATACACAACATCATATTTAAAGGAGCACCAACAAAAAATTTCAGAAGCGAGATAGGTTTATGTGGAGACATACAAACATCTATGAGATACCGTGGGGAAATATAGCCTAGACAAAATCAATATTAGAGAGCAGGCCGCGTGCCTGATCGAAATGCCGTGTCCCTAGCAATGCCCTCATCCACTCGGGGGGTGTATAAAGAAAACTTACGTAATGAGTTTGTGTTGGCTGTTTGCTTGGCACAGGACCTACATTTGTAACAGTTGCGATTTCCTTCTGTGTCTGCAACTTTTCACGTGCTGGCTGTGGTGGCTGTCAGTGCAGCTCACACTTTCATGCGTGACGTCCACGTCCCAGATTCAACTGGTCAAGTGCCCAGCCATGTTTAACTTGCCGCCAAAACTGCTCCTGCTCAGCTCAGTGCTTCTTTGACACCAAAACTTGTGAAGGTGCTAACACCCCCTGTAAAGTTGTTTGTGCTGCATGGCGCACGTGTCTCGCCCACAAACCACATTTCAAGTTACAACCACGGGGCGGTAGGTGGCGTTGTGTTCGCGTTGATCACCATTATCATCACCATCATGGTGTAGCACCGGCGATGACCCCTGATGGAAGGCAAGCCTTGGTGGCGGGCGAGAGTTGAGCGAGTCTCCTTGGGTATGTTATTGTGTGTTTGTCGTGTTATTGTGTTTGTCATGGAGTGTATGGTAATATTGTGTATGGATGTCCTAGCGTGTTCATAACGATTGATGTATCGATTGGGCGGACGAAATCGTCGTTCTAAATTAGTTAAATAAATGTGTGTATTGTTTGGCTTGTACCGACCGTGTCAGCTGTGTCTTTTCACTCCAAGAGCGTGCAGTGGCGCTCATTCGCCATTTTGAGACCCCACAAACTGCAACTGAGCACTCTAAAAAAGTCTCTAAATCTTTGTGCACCCGAGGTTTCTAGCTGTGATAAGTGGGTCATAAGCTACGTATTGCAACAAGAAAAACAAGATGCAAAATATTTGTGTCAGTGCTCTTCTAAGTATTGATCTTCGCACAAACTAAGGTAAAAAACAGTACAAGGGATATCAAATTAAACCTAGGCCACAAGGCACTCGGAAGGCTGACAATTTGTTTTGGACACATTGGGCTGTTTTGTGTGCTGAAATTCTGGGGTACAAGATTCTTCTTTTTTTTTTTTTTTTCGCTTATCAATATGAGGACACCGCAGCCAGTATTCAAACCCATGGCCTTGCGCAAAGCAGCAATTGGTTGATTGATATGTGGGGTTTAACGTCCCAAAACCACTATATGATTATGAGAGACGCCGTAGTGGAGGGCTCCGGAAATTTAGACCACCTGGGGTTCTTTAACGTGCACCCAAATCTGAGCACACGGGCCTACAACATTTCCGCCTCCATCGGAAATGCAGCCGCCGCAGCCAGGATTCGAACCCGCGCCCTGCGGGTCAGCAGCCGAGTACCTTAGCCACTAGACCACCGCGGCGGGGCGCGCAAAGCAGCAATGTTGTGGGAACACTGTCTTCAATAATTTTGCCATATGTAGCTACAAAATGAGAAAAAGTGCAGAGATCTCGCAAAGCTTTAAAAAAGTAGTGAAAGTTTTGGGGATGCTAGAGAAAAGAAAAAAAACACATTTCCTTGCATTTAGTTGCAGTCAGTTTGAGTGAAAGTTGTGTGTAGATGACACACAAAAAATTGCCACATCAACATAAAAGTAATGCATGTGTTGCCCACAGAACTCTGTTAAAAAATATTCATTTTCTTACACTCATCGTAAGTCATAAATGGTCTCATGTACAAATGTGCAGCTAGGATCGTCATGTAGCCCATGAACGTGACATGCTACATGTGGAATGTGTTTTACACTCACTCCCATGGCTGTGAGTCATGCTAACAGTCCCAGGTTGAATGCACATAAACACCCCCCAAACTGGACGAGGGGACAGTTGCCACCGAAGCTCGATTGGTGTAAGCATCAGGCATGTAATCTTATGTTGGACGTTTGGTCCCTGCCAGCAACAAGTTGTCTTTTCATTTGCTTCATTTTCTTCACATTTACATAACAATTACAATACACTTAATATAGTAGAATGATTGTCACCATACTTTCCTTCTTTTTATTATTGACTGGTTTTCATTAATATTGAGTGACTGTGGTTCTGAGCCCATGTAAGAATTCACTTCAGCTCCAAAAATTTTGATGGTGAGAAATATGCGCACTTTTGGTGGTGAACATGCTGCCCAAAGAATTCTGCGAATGCATGCCATAATAAGGAAGTTACAGGGGTTAGAACATCAGTTTCAGCCGGTTTAGAATTTTCGTGCGGCCGCTCGCCACCTTTCCCCCCAAAGGAGTAGCCTGCCGTGGTTCCGCCTACTTCGGCAACGTGACAAGACGTCTGTTATACGTCATCGGCATGCAACCAACAACCGAGCGGGGCTTCCCACAGGCGGGCTTGAAACACAGAGCGAGGCCCACTTTTCCCCTCGCAGTATGGTAGCGAGAGGTCTCTTTATCTCCGAGGCTTTCGTTCTGACAATACCGCTTCTCACGGAGCCTCGGGCTCCACAAAACGACTAAGGGCAGCGCAGAAAAATGAAAGCGCAGATAGCACAGCTGGAACTGCATCGCCTTACGGTCAAGGCACCCTTTCGTAGAGCAAGAACCAATCGACGAGCTCAGCAGTGCGTAATGTTGCCAATGGCCTAGCTTTCGTCAGACTGCACGTACGCGGAAGATTGGTCAGCCGAGGGAAATAGGTGCAGGGTTGTTTTTCAAAATAGAGGGTCTGCGCGGCACGCAGCGCCACAATATTCAGCAAATACAGGGGTGCAACAGCCAAAACACCATTTGGAGCAACTTTTGGAGCAGCAAAATGTTACTTTTAGAGCACTAAAATCGAAATTCAAAGCAGCTTCGAGAAAAAAAATTATACATTTTTTTATTATGAAATACCAAATTTGGAGCAGTTAAAATAAAAAGGCTTGCATTTAAAAAAAAAATATCCATAAACCATCCAGAATCGCCTAAATCGTGCAGTGTGAATGAGCTCTGCTATTTCAATGAAAGTATTTTTTCAGCCATCCCACTGAGCAAACTGTGATAAAGTCCATATTAGGATTTGCTGCATCAGACAAATCGTTTGACAGACTCTGCAAATTTAAATGCAGATTTGCCAAGCTCCTGACTTCGAAATTCGGGACATTTATAAAACAGAAGAGTAGGGGAAAAAAACAAAAAAGTGCTGCACAATTTTGCTTTTTTTTTTTTTAGGTAAGCAGAAATGTCACACTGCCCCAAATGATTTCCAGTAGCTTATTTAGATGTCAGTGATCATACTGGTACTCAGAATTATGAGGTGTACACAAGCATGAGCAACTGAACCGAATGTGCTACGTCCCATGACTAGCGCTAACAACCCCTTCCAAACCGACACTTTTTTCCACAGGACAATGGTGTACTGCGGCAAAGGTAGCTTAGCAGCATTCTCTGCATGGGATAGAAAAAAAGCCAAGAAATTTTCGAACCACTGCATCCCCCCCCCCCCTTTTTTTTTCTTTCACGGTGGGTTAGATGCCCTTTCGACTTGCTTGCAAGGGGCATTTGACCAGCTAAAGTAACAACGGCGTGCGCCCGTTAGTCCGGACACGGTACCGGATATCTATCGCCAGGAGTATAGCTGGGACGACGCAACTTTAAAAAAAAATGTTTTATGTGCCACTGCTAAGGCAATCAACGTGGTCGCTGGCAATGTCGACGTTTGCAGTACGTCAAGCTTGTCCGAGTGAGGAAAACGCAGCATGCGCTTCCAGCTTTAGTTCCTAACAAGCTATTGCCGCGTTTTAAGGCTAGAAAATTTACATTTTCCGCGAAGCATGGGTGGCCACAGCAATGCATTTTTGCCTTGAAGTTCCGTCGTCCAGCCGATAGGTATTTGCTGCGATCAATGAACGGATGGTGCGCAGCATTTTTACTTTATCTGGTCATATTTTAGGTACATTCTAGGCACTATAGTTAAGGCCTGCACGCTTTGACGGATGGTGCAAACTGCAGGTGGCCGATGTGGCCAGCATTTTTCGCCGAAATTAGCACAACTGGAAAAGTTCTGGGGCTGGCTGGGTATTTTGGCACAGCGTGCCACAATTTCAGCAAATTTCACATTTTCGGCGCCGTTCGGAACAACAATAGGAAATTGTATCGAATTGGAGCAATTGGCACAGCTGTCGCACCCCTGCAAATGTGATCGCCGTGGTCTACTGTATGAATTATAGAGCTTGTTTGGGGGCTGTAAAAATAAAAGTCGGAGCCTGCAACATTCAGTGATGACAGTGAAAATCCATGCCCAGAATAAACAGCCACTTGCCGAGCGTAGATCCACCCTGACTTGGGACGCACGTGAAGCCTTGCGTACGCTGAAAGTAGTAAACAGTGACGCTGTCAAAGCCAACTGTTTTCCGGAGCTTGCTGCGCTTATTCGGTGGTGGTCCATCCTCGCGCTCTGCCCCAGGCCGAGACTGGTGGCCTCCACCGTTGTCAGGGTTGCCCCCCCCATTCATGGAGGGAGGGGCTTGAGGCTTGCCAAAATCTAGACCCAGGGTTGCGTCAGACATATGGGCCCACCTGAACACGCACACAGCACCACTCTGTTACTACACGAAACGTGAAAAAAAAAAAAAAGGCAGGAGTAAGGAGAAGATGCCTCTGATGATAATTTATAAAGAGTGGATGTGCTTAAGTTGATATTTTGACAAGCCTGCTAGTAGAAACATCAGCTCCAGCAGAACTCTCCTTTACAAATTTGCATTACATGAAACAGTGTGGCCACGCAAAAAAACAAGAGGAACAAAAAAGTGAACTGAAAACTCTTCATTGTAATCACAACAATAGTGGTTGTTTACTCAAATTCCACAGCTTAAGGCTGTCCGCTCATTCATGCATCATTAAACACTCTAAAGCAATTCATGGAGCTCACACAGATATGACATTATGCTTCACTAGTGATGTCCAAGCAGGCCAACTGATGTTGCTATCAAGTTTGCAAAAATGTGAATGAAGTTTGATGTAGCAGTCACATTTTATGGCATAATAATTATGCAATCATGCGTATGCAATAAAACCATAATGCAATAGCATAATGAGAATTTCTCAGCCTGACCACTAGCAATAAAAGTGTAAAAAAACAAGCACACAGTAATATCTTGCTCTGAAAGCAAAAAAAAAACAGAAGCCACTTACACATAAGTAATGTTCAATAGTGAGAATGTTACAATTAGCCAAGTTTTAAGGAGTGAAAAAAAAAAAGAGCGAAATTTGTCTGGCTTGAACACCTTCAATATATTTAACTGGTCACCCCTCGATCAGCAATAAGGGTGACACTGTAATAGAAAAAAAGGGGGGACACACAATAAGATATCATAGGCTTAGAAGAAAAATTAAGGGGGAATTATTTAGTATACCTAAATTATTGACTATTATGTGATTCACTACATCACAAGAGCATATCAGCTAGTTGGTGAGATGGCTCACTGCCAAGTACGAGTTGTACATATTACATATACACCCTAGGGAACACCATGATGCCCTGAAGACACGTGGCCAAACACTTGCGAGAATGAGAGCGCACTTCCTTGGACTAAGATTCTTTTATGCCATACAGACCAATCGATGCGTGAAATATTTGACACCTACAGAACACAAAAGGCAGGTCAATAACTGTCTCAGCCAGCCTTCAATGGCCCACCAGGATAAAGAAGTTGACTTTTTAGACTACGCAAGTACTTGACAGCCAAGCACTAAAGGGGACTGACATAAAATTTTAAGTTCAAGAGTAATCATTCATTCAATTGCTCAGTATGCATAAGTATTTTTGACAAAATTTGAACGGAGTACGTCACCAGGAAGTTATTTTTATTTTGGGGGCGAAGGGCGTATGAAAGCTCACGGCAGCTTTCATCCTCCGGTGACATCGACATTACTGTGACGTGTTCAATATGCAGCATACCCTACTGAGTTAGTAGTAATGAAGACTATTCAAGTGATTCTATCGTGGCGCTGATGCCTGATCTTCGTCACACCACTATGAACAATTTTATAAAATTACAAAAAGTAAACAAAGAAAAGACAGGCGAAAGGAGAGTGCGTGTGTTCGTCAGTCAGCATGTCGTCAAACTGTTGTGAGCCGCAGTTGTGCTGTTGGAAGCACGAAAAAAGCACAACCAGTGTGTGTCATATGGTGGACGCCAACACAACCACAAGCTATCAAGGTGCAGCAGCGTACAGATAAATATCGTTGCTAATAAGTAACATGCAGGCCGGCTTAATTGTGAGTTTTACTACGTTTACAGACTTTGTGCTAGCACCGGGTCACTGGAGCCATAACCTCAAGAGGTCGCATAGGGGCGACCATCTGGCAGAACAAGAGAACTAGGCAAGCGTAGAATTATTAATGTACAAACCTAGTGTATTGTATTCTCTGCTAGTGTGAATTCACTCTACCAATAATATACACACTTCTTTGCAATACTGTAATGCTGTGCACACTAAAATCCTCTAATGCACTTTTCTAATTGAGACAGATCAGCGTGTTTGGCCCAAGCATGCGTCCCCGGGCACCTTGTCATATCTGCTTGGAACGGCTTATATTTTCAATTCGCAGTTTTGCAAAGTGTCAAAGCGAAAATGATTCTTCATGACTGGTTCCCATAATCCACCAGGTCAGAAGCCGCAGTCCCGAGTCTCAAATTTAGAGTAAAATGAGGGCTCAACGTCTGTGACCTGGGAGGCGGTAGCCAGCTGTTGCCCTCAAAGATGACAAAGAGGGAAAACAAATGCAAAGCAAAACCTCTAATACCCGAATCATACTTGAAGACTGACCATCTTCTGTCGCGCCAAACCACAGGCCGCACCACAATTTGTCACATCCGCTACACTTAAAAAAAAAAAAAAAGCTGTATCCCCCCAGTTGGCACTAGAAATCGAACCAACCACTCCCACATTAGAAGCAGATGCTCCACCATTTCACCATTTTCATGAGCCCAGTGGCCGATAACCACCCTTCTAGAGAACACTGCCAAGTGCATGAGTGGGACTGGACTATTTCTTTAGCCATGCAGGCTATTGCCAAGCGCACTTCAGTCAACAGGGCAAGGCCCCTTCAAAATTATACAAGTTGGATCAGACTACAAACTGGGAAGGGCAGCTAAAATTATCTCTGGTCAGCAGAGAACAATTAAGTAATCTTACAATGCAGTGCCGCCCACCAGGAGATAAACTTATAATCAAAAATCCTAGGAAAAAGCTCATTCCTGCATGTATGCGCTCAATGTAACCCCATACTTTCTTTGTATATTCCTGCAATGGTTCTCTAACGTGCACCTAAATTCAAGTAAACGGGCATCTGGCATTTGGTCTACATAGAAATGCGGTAGCCATGGCCAGGATTCAAACCCGCAAATTTATGGTCAGCAGTTGAGTGCCGTAACCGTTACAAGACAGGTCGCAGGAATGTAAAGTACGATAGATAACAAAAAGGGCACAGGCAAACAGGTACCTTTCATTATATCATCATTTTGAAGATTCTGATCTGTTACCATGTCATCCATATCGGAAACTAAAAAAATTTATATGTTTGGAGTTGTCAATCTCATAGATCAGTTGACCAGAGCCCTATACACGTGATCAGTTCTAAACACATAGATCAGTTAATCAGAGATGTGGTGTTAAGTCCTGTGGTGTTAAGTCCTTCGACGCCCAAGGCAATCAGGAGCAAAGCCTTCTTGTGTGTCAGCGTGGTTACCCTAACAGCGACCTCGAGTCGGCCGGCGCCCGGCCGACTCGAAGTACGCAGCAGCCGGTAGCCAAGCAGAAACTCCTTTATTATGTACAATGCCGTGCACAGGATAGCGCCCCCAAAGGCGAAAATGCTTTACATGAAGCCGAATCTGGCAACCGTGAATTCGAAACACAACCGTAGCTACAGTGTACTAGAAGGGGGCAGTGGGCTCACTCTCCGGCGGAAGGTATACAGAGGGGTGGCTCCAGAAATGTCGCACGTTTGTGGTTCTCTGGTCGCAAGAGCGGCGCCGCTGGCATCGCCATCAATGGAAAAATTTGGGGAGGGACGTTGCAGCTGAGCCGGTTGTGAGCCGGTCAAGTCCTGCAGAGCAACAGAGTTTGAGCCACGTTCTGTGGCTGTGGACATTGTTGCGCCGAGTTTTCGCCATCAGCTTTGAGCGTTACGCACAACGCAAGATGACACTATGCTTCACAGTGCATACTGTAACCATGCCGCGAAAACGGCAAAACCACTGTTAGGCGCTTGGGTGTCTAACAGGCAACGTGCTCGTGAAGAGTAAACAGGACCTGTCATTGTTTGGCGTCCTGAAGGATGAAAACAGGCCGAAAGAATGCGAGAAGAACCAGCACAGAGCGGACAAGCTTCTGGAAGACACCAACGCAGTTTGCGAACTCCACTTGCAATCGCGTCTGTGCATATTATCGATGAAAAAAAGTGCGCATACCTCACCCATTATCCCCGCCGAGGCTGTTTTCAACTTGTTCGGCTGACCAACTTTTGTGATCGAGGAGGCCTCCTTCATCCCTCAAGTCAGCTGTACAGCTTCATGAAAAAGCTCGAGGATACTTTCACAGAATGTTTTTGCCAGAGTAAGCTGCACTCTGATAGCATTATGGACATACTGGCAATTGTTCAGCGCAGACTCTCGATTAAAGTTGATTGCAGTGTGCATGCAGCTACCTTCAAGCGAAAGTAATTACTTTTTACGTTGTCACACGTCTTCATTCAATTTGAAAAGACTGAACACTGACAATTAGGCAGGGAAGCGGCAGAGGGCCAAGCAGCTAAAGATGAGCCGTCACACATGAAGTGAATAAGGTGTGTAAATCAGTGGCTAGATGGTGTACTTCCGTTCTTGCAAATAAGAGCTTCATGTCAGGAGCAGAAGCTTCGTGTGTATCTTTATTTAGTTTTTCACTATGCCACTCTACATATGTCTAACATACGTGTATCTGCATAGTTATGATTATTAATAACCCCCAGAAAACTGTTGTGCCATGGTCTACAACTGAAGCAGAACAAAAATTATTTAAGCACTACAATTTCACTTTATAAAAAAGGCGCAAACCCAGCCAGCATGCCTGCATGTTAAAGCTTTTCTAGGAAGTGAACGTGCACTGTTTTCTAATTATGTCGTGAAAGGGCGGGCATAATCTTGTTGCGAATTCTTTTTAGGTTCGGTCTACACAGCATGAACCGTACGTTTGGTCACTGTATCAAAACATATAATTTGTGGAATACATCATCCTTTTCGACGAGGTGTTATATTCGAGGAAACATGATGTGGCCTGAACAAATATAGTGCTTATCAGGAATACTCTACTAACTCAAGCACACACCCTCCAAAACCCACACACACGCACACACAAAAAGTGTTAGCTACGTCGCACTAGAAAGGAGAATGCAGAGACTGCACCGGCTGCCATCGGACTAATTTTCGTGAAACTGTATCGCAAAAGAAAACACTGTGAAGCGAGAGCACCAGAAACTCTTAATATAATCAGAAAGCAGTCAAAGCATGCAAGTTTATTACAAATATCGAATA